GTTATGTCTGACCCAGGAGCTGCAAAACAACCCAAACACTGGGTTGTTACATTTGACCCAGGAGCTGGGTAACACAAAAACTACCCAAACACTGAAAAAATAACCCAAAAGGCTCAACCCAGCATTTGGGTTAAAAAAATAACCCAGGATTTTTTAGAGTGTATGAACATCTATTGTAATTATCATCATCATCTTTATCATTATAATTAACTTCAGAATTGTGTTTATTCTTACCAATGTAAAGGTCACCATTAATGTTCAGCTGTCTCATCTTACCCGGAGATCTCCCTGTTTTAGCTCCGTAATCATCGACGGTTAGTTTACCAGACTGTCCATCCCTTCAAACAGAGACAAACATAAAGGCTTGGTTAAACTGAGAAAACTACAGCCCTTTTAAATGGTACAAATTGCCTGACATTCAACTACACTGAAGAAATTTGAAAATAGAAACTGCTAGCAAGTAAAGAAACAGCACATAGCACACTGAATCACTGTAAATGTGAAATTTTGAAAAGAAAGACATGCTGAAATAATGATTTAAAGGCAAATGTCATACCTGACAGCCTTCACTCTGTGCCATCTGCCATCACTAAATGTGCCGTTAATGACCACAGTGGCGGCTCCACTACCAAGATTGTAACTGTAGAGAAAATAAGAGATGTTAGGAGGATCTTAGGAAGAAGCTTTTGATCCTCTATTGTCTGCAAAAATGCAAACCTCATGCCTTTAAGCATGTGGGTGCATGCAGACGGATATGCTGTTATACCTGAAAATGAGCGCTCCATCTTGAAGGCCCAGAGACAGGTAGTCACTGTTGGCTCTCATCGGACTGTCTCCTCGCCATAGTAAAAGACCATCTTTAGACGTGCTCTTAAAACGCATGAACATGTTTGTTCTGGAACCTGACACCCTGCAGAGACACGCACCATTATATTAGCATGTGTGCATGCATGTAAGCACAGAAAAGACAAAAACATCATATGAAGCATATAGAGTGCAATAGAAGTAAAAACATTTTCTCCATTGGGTAATAGATTTTTGATGATAACCTATAAATAAAGACTCAAGACAGACCTACTGTGAGCTCCATGGTTGTTAATCAATGGTATGTGCTTTTGTTGAAGCCATCTGTTTAGATTATTCAAAGTGGAAAAACTACATTACCCATGATGCTGTGTTGTTCACCAATCAGAGAGTTGCAGTGAGCAAATTGCACTCTCCAATGAAGCACAGCAAAGGATTGTTTCTATAGTAATAATCAACAACTTTTGAGTTCTATATTTCACCATTGTTTTTAATTGTCATTCACAAGGCTTTATTGGATTGTAGTTCTTTCCCTCACTAAAACAGTTAAGTACACAGTCTTTTTGTCTGATTTTTAAATAATTTTTGCTTAAAATCAAATTTTGTAATGTTGTGATCCACCTCATAGCTGGTTGGGTGCAAAGACTATAAATTCCTATAAGAAAAATGAATACTCCCAGAACCAATGCTACTGAAAAAGTGAGCAGGAAGCAATTCACTCTATCAATTTGAGCGCAGTTATAGAGCGTAAAAGCAAAAAAACTCTACCTTTTGAGGAGATCTCTGTTGTCATATGTCAGATAACTGCGTCCGGTGAACTGAGGGATCTCAATAGATTCAGTGACAGCTGATACAGCAAAAGACAAAGAGTGCACAGCTCTGTAACATGCACTAGACGGCAGCATACATCATAAATACACTAAAGCCATTCTTACTAGACAGCAGACATGAATGAGAGACATCCTCTGACTTGAGCACTTACTATTTAAGCAGTAATTCCCACATTCTGCACAGTGAGAGCACAAAACAGAATAAAAAGCTTAAGAAAGATTTTGAAGTGTTATGGAAAAAGTCTGCAAGGAATATCAGAGCAACGTCTCAAACACAAAATACTGTTTGTGTACTACGCAAAGAAAGTTTTCCATTAGAGCTCAATCCTGCTCCTGGAGATCTGCCTTCCTGCAGAGTTTATACTAATAATATGAGAAGCACTGGATTCAGTCATTTTCGTACAGTTATTCCCATTTTTATCTAATTTTGCATTAAAAAAACAAACTGAACAATTAAGTCAAGGAGGAGTCATTACAGGCATGGAAGATTAAATCTAGTGCATCGTTGGATACAGTTTTATTTATTTATTTATTTATTAGCAGTGTGCTCTGGTTTTATAATGCACATTTTGGCAAATGTAGATGATATTTTAATTACTATTATAGTATTTATTAATATTTTAATTATCTTTAACTTTTTTATTATTAATTTTAATATAATTTATAAGTTTTTGTTTCTATTTTAGTTTAAGTTTTAGTAGTTTATATACAATAATAAATATAATTTAAAAATGTATAATTATATTAATTATTAAAATAATTCTGTTATTATTTCTATATAGCTTTAATTTTTATTTCAGCTTTAGTTTTAGTAATTTTAGCACTTCAACTTAAGCATTCTAATTTAAGCTCAAGTTTTCCATCTAATATTTATATTTTATTTTACTTCTGCTTTATTTCAATGACCAATTTCTTTTTAAGTATTTTAGTAGTTTTAGTTAACATACTATAAATTAGTAAGTGTAGTATGGATTTTGCACATAGCCTGCTTTTGGAATGGAATACTTGCATACTAATTACTGCATGGTGCACAATATGTACTGTATACTGCCTACTCTATTTTTAATGGATAAAATATGTTTTTCGCATACTGTACATTATGCATTTGGCAATAACCGCATGAGAAGTATTTAAGCATTGCGTTCTGAACTTAACCCTGGATTAGCGGCTTCAGATTTGTGCGCTTAAAATTGGAGCTAAACTATGGACAGCAGATATTCAGGAGCACCTATGCCTTCGAGTTGTTTGTTTTCTCACCTTTCTGACAGTGTTTCCCATCATACCCAAGCGCACAGTCACAGTCGTATCTGTCCCACTTCGGCCTGCATGTTCCTCCATTAGCACATGGGTTCTCCACACACGGGTGATCTGCGTTCAACACGTTCACCCCAAAAGCCTGACCGGGATTTAGCTCTATAGTGCGGTCATTCAGAGTGATCTGGGTCAGGAGGAAAGATTGAAAATTATAATACCGTTTTAAGATTTCAAACATTAAATCTGCACATGTGCAGTTGTAAATAGTCAGGTGTTGCAGCATTGAACACACTAATGCCGAGTTCTCACTGCACGATTTTCAAACTCGTCGGATCGCCGTTGGTTTCACACTGCGTGACTATCTGGGGTAGCATTCAGTTGCTGCTGTGTTCACAT